GACTCTGACATAACGCGGTGTGACGGGTGGAGAACTCTCAGCCGCTGCTCAGGTTTCTGCATAATCAGATCCATCACACAAGGGGGAAGCGGATACACATGGGGAAGGTGGTATCAAGGCCACAAAAGTGGCCATGGTAAATTTGCTGAGATGCAATGGTACAGGCCATCAATAAACTTGGGATGCCCCCTTTGGAAGCTCCACTCTCTGAGGAAGAAAATCCTGGCTTTCCTTCGTGTAGATCTTTGAGAAAGAACTCTGGAGGAAGGTTAGCAATCCAGATGAACGGGCTGTCTATGTAAACCCACTTACACATGATCAGAGCAGCTCAAGTTTCAGGTGACTTCTCGAGGCTCTTTGTCATTGTTAGACTGGAGTCAGAGCCATCCAAGAGGGCAGGAATAGTTTATGCAGCATAATACAGTAAGTAAATGGCTTTTCCAAGGCTAGAGTGTGGGCCATGGGGGCCATCTTGCTCCACCTGTAGCATTTCTTCTGCTTGGCGATCTGGCAGAATTGGCCTGCGTGGGGTGGGGCTGCAAGCCTTCCTAGGTCAACAGCAGACCTTGCAAATGGTTTCTTGAAAACCACGTCCTTGACTTCACAAGTACAAGTGAACAGATTCACCCATCATTTGTGGGTGGTGGGCTGGTTCAGAGCACAGACTCAGGCTGACTCTTGACATATGGTCTGACATTTGAAATGGAGAACACCCTGCCTTTCGCTCACAGAAACGAATCTAACACAGTCCTTGTTTCCTGGAGACGTTCTGCTGCTGGAATATGGCTATTTGTAGAGAAATTAGCAGTGATGAGCTAATAATCTATTTTAGAAAACTGAACTCAGATCTTGAAAGGGCTATTTTAAACCTGCCCTTAATTGTTCAATTCCATAATGGCCTCTTGGTATTTTTCTTTTGAGAACTGCCATGGGTAGCCTTCCAACTGTCTAGCAACGTGTATTCCACAGAGGAAGCCACGCCCTTCTGGGGTACACACCACAGCATTAATGATGGATGAGACTATCCAGAGCACACTCAGTTGTGGTGCTAAAATGTTTTTTGAAAACAGTTTTAGACATTCACTCATTTTTAGTGTCAGATGGAAGTGTCTAATAAGCTCACATCACTTTGGTTGTCTTCGTCTATTTTGGAATGAAATCATCTGTGGGAATCTTGGCAACATGTATAACAGAAGAATGGAAAACCTCATGACTATCACATAAAAGACAGACAGGCAACTGACAAGTAGCCCAGCCCAGCTATCGACCATCGCTGATCTGTCTTAGCACATTCAGCCTCCTGGAATTTACATGTTGATCTACATCATTCCGCTGGTGCAAAAAAAGTAACTGGTATCACTTATATAGTAGTTTATATCATTTATGTAGTTGTTTATGTAGAGTTTTGATATAGTTCTTTGTGTCGTTCCTAGTATCGCATACACCCTTTCTTCTGTTGGGAAGTATTTTTGGTTGCTATCTGTTTTGTATCCTATATAGTATAGGATGATTAGTAACTGGACACTGGTAGATTGCTTTGCTTTTGATTCTAAACAGTAAACAGATCTTCAATGGACTCAGAAGTTATCATAAAAACAATGTGTGTGGGCAGTCTGAATATTAGATCATTCCAGTTGGGCTCCTTTTTCCAGGGGTAATCCTTGGAGGCCAATTCTCTGAGCAAAACCAGGGGTGTCCTGGCCATACAGGACAGTATGGTGAAATGACCACAATGACCTTGAAGCCTCCAGGGTCACTGACAGATGCTGCCTTCCAAGCTGCCCTCATGACTACTAAACGCCAAACCTTGCATAACAGCTCCAAAATCTATTGTCTCGATCACCAGACACCAGAAACATTCTTAAAACCAAAATTGGATTGCTTAGCTCCAGTCTAGCTGGGGAAGTTGTAGGGAAGAAAGGAACTCTTTTCTCTGACCCCTAGAGGTTCAACAAGTAAGTCTTCTGAGCAAACTGACAATGGATGGGTCAGCAGGGGAGAAGGCTTGGGGGCCACCATAGTGTGAACCTGAAGCAGAGCTCGAGGATTGAAGCTTGAATACTCTTTGATGGAAGAGAGAGAGGGAAGTGGGCGTTTTGGAGGAAACGTGTTTTTAGGAGAGGTGGATGGGCCTGAAGAATAGACCAGCAGGCTGGAGACAGTGTTGCCCTGGGTACTAAGTGTGGGGTCGACCCTACTCTTCCTTCTTGCCAGGATCTGGCCTTAGTCAGAGAAGGGAACTTTCGAGAAAGCCCCTTCCTGTGTATGAGGATGGAGTGTGAGAGATGGGAGCAGGGAGGGTGTGGAGAGGGTGAGACTTCAGTGCTCCTGCAGCTCCATGTCCTTGGCAGGTTGGTGCACGCTTTGGGCTTGGTTTCTGGCTTGCTTTAAGAGTCTCTGTAGCAGTTCTCTAGCACTTGCCTGCAATGCCATGTTACACCGTTTTCAGCTCTCTCCTTTGAAAAAAAAATAGTAGAGCTGGGCGCCGGTGGCTCACACCTGTCACCCTAGCTACTCAGGAGGCTGAGATCTGAGGATCGCGGTTCAAAGCCAGCCTGGGCAGGAAAGTCTGTGAGACTCTTATCTCCAATAAACCACCAGAAAACTGGAAGTGGTGCTATGGCTCAAGTGGTAGAGCTCTAGCCTTGAGCCTTGAGTTGAAGGACAGCATTCAGGCCCAGAGTTTAAGCCCCATGACTGACAAAAAAAAAAAAGTGATACTTGGATTTGAACTCAGCTTCAAGTTTGCTAAGCAGCAGTTCTACCACTTGTCCCATACCTCCAGGCCTTTATCCTGTTGGCAATTCTGAAATAGGATCTGCTGTCTAGGCCAACCTAGACAGCAGCCTTCTTGTTTATGCTTCTCACCCTAGCTGAAATGGCAGACATGTAACACCACACCTAGCTTGTTCTGTTAGGAAGGGGTCTGGAATTCCAGTGCTCCGCATCCCAGTCTACCACATAGCGGGGGATGGCTGAGGGAGCACCACTGTGCCCAGATACTGGTTCAGATGGATTTTTCATCTTTCTTTTTTTATTTTTCTGGGCAGTCTGTGAACAGTGACCCTACTGATCTCCACCTCTTAAGACACTGGCACATTTTATATTTTCACCTGATTAGTCCTCACAACTTGATGAAATAGGTACTTTTCACAAACTCATTTTACAGATGAGGACACAGAGACCTATGAGAGATGAAGTAACTTGCCCTGAAGAGCAGAGGCAGTGGGTGCAGAGCTGGGATTATGAGTGAGCATTTTTCCAGGTGCTGGTGGCTCATACTTATAACTCTAGCTACTCAGGAGGCTGAGAGCTGAGGATCCACATCTGAAGCCAGCCCAGGCAGGAACGTCCATGGGACTCTTATTGCTATCAAAAAGCTGGAAATGGAGCTGTGGCTCAAGTGGTAAAGCACTAGCTTTGAGCTAAACAGCAGCACAGAGACAGCATCCGGATCCTGAGTTCAAGTCCCAGGACCAGTACAAAAACAGAAAGAGAAAGAAGGAAGGAAAGAAGGAAGGAAGGAAGGAAGGAAGGAAGGAAGGAAGGAAGGAAGGAAGGAAGGAAGGAAGGAAGGAAGGAAGGAAGGAAAAGGAAATAGGCACTGTGCATAGAGTAAACAACCTCTTTTCCTAATTCCACATTAGTGCAATCTCCCATGAGGATGCCTGCCTGTGAGCGAGCATTTTCTCAGTGGGAGGCTGTGGAGACTAGATGGCACTAATTGCTGCATATTCTGAGGAAAAACCATGTCCTCTGTGCATCCTTCCCTCGCCATACCTTTCTTGCAGCACTATATTCCTTTATGGAATACATCCTTTGTGGAAAACTGTAGTCTCTCTTTGCCCTTGTACTTGGCCCATGATTCTTCACATAGATCCCAGGCAAAAATGAGTCATCTAAGCCACGAGAGTTCACCTGTAAGAGTTAAAGGAAGGCTCAGCCCCTCCTTGCCACTCCATAAATCTGTGTTGAGGACATGAATAAATGGGTGAAAGTCCATTTCATGTCCAGGCTTAAGAGCATAGAAAGTTTGTTGTTTACTTTTTAAAAAAGAGAGAGAGAAAACCCTGCATTTAATCTCAGCTTTTATTTTTATTAGAGACTGCAGGTATGAAAGAAGGTTATATTTCCCTGTTGACTGCTGCTCCTCTGAGTGTCTTTTTGATACTATGCCTTTTCATTTTTTCTTTCATGAAGTGCCCAATGTCTTTACCAATGAAATGCCAAGTTATGAGAGCCTTTAACTTGCCTAGGATCGTGTTCTGAGAAATCCTATCTCCTATACACATCAAAAGGAATCCCCAAGCCCCTGAATCTGTGGGTTCAGGGTTCCGTTTCTGTGTTCTGTTGAGGGGAAAGCTGGGAGAAAATAAGGGAGAGGATGACACTGCTGAAAAAGAAATGTACTCCTTACCCGACTTATGTAACTGTAACCTCTCAGTACGTCACCTTTACAATAAACTTTAAACAAATTAACCTTTCTAAGGAGGTTTATTAATAATACCCTCTGTCATGCTTGTCTGTTCAGAGGACCTCTTCTATATTAATGGATAGAAAACAAAGGCAACCTGAGATAACTAGCTATAAGGATTCTAAAGATGAGTAATGGGGAAAGGGAAGCACTTGGTAGAATATGCTGAAACTTCACTTCCGGTAACCAAGTACCAGATTCTGTCCATAGGATGCTCATTGGTTCATCATTTTGTAGAGAACCAGAAGACAGTGCGTGTGTGTTCTCCACAGAGACTTTTGGCCATTTTCATCATTGTTGTTCTTTAGACAATGTTTTAGGTCATATGTCTCTAAAGTTTAGTGAGCCCCCACCTCAAATATACTTTTTCTCTCACCAATTCAGAAATCAACTACAAGGTGTCCTGTCATCTCTACAGCTGCCTTCTTTCTGGTCCTCAGAGGTTCAGAAAGCTCCCACGATATTCATGTGAGTCTGTGTTTTTAATATTCCTAATGGCTATTTTGTTTTGTGTTGCCTTTCTTAGGTTTGCTGGGATGGGAAACCTGCTTAAAGTCCTGACCAGGGAAATTGAGAACTATCCACATTTTTTCCTGGATTTTGAAAGTAAGTGTGCAAATTTATTACAATGAAATAATGGAAACCTTTCATTTTCTCTATAGCTAATTCATTAGGAGGTGATAACAATTGTTAAATGCTATATCAGCCACGTTCAATTGAAATTCTACATTTCTTTTTTGAGATTATTTTTAAAATCATTTTTATTCTCTTCCTTTCCCAGATTTGTAGAAATTGAATGGAGAGTCTTTTCCATTTCTTTCTTTGGTTTTAGAAGTGATCAGCCTTGATAGGCCTAAGACACATCATGATAGAGGATTTTTAAATTTTTTAAATGAATTAATTTCTCACATTCAAAAGAAAAATAACAAATGTTAATTTTCATAGAATAATGTAAAATATCTCTGACTATGGAAGAAAAAGAGTGATTGATACCAGATGCAAAGCTTATAGATTTTTTTTCCTGTTATCTCCAGCTCTTTGTTTCTGTTTTCAGGACTGAGTTTTAAAGTCAGGATCTCAATGGCACTCTACCATTTGAGCCAGGTCCCCAGGCATTTTGCTGTTAGTTGGTTTCAGTTGGTTTAATATTTTACCAGGGCTGGCCTCAAAACACACTTGCAACCCTCCTATCTCTAGCTCCTGAGCGTCTGGCATGGCAAGTGTGTGCCCCTGCACCTGGCTCCTCTCTCCTACTCTTTATGTAGCTTATGATTGTTTAAAACTATTTCAGGATTTAGTGATATGATTACGCCCTTTATCCAAAAGATTGTCTTCTCTACAAAAATCATTAAACTTTCTTCTGAGTGAAAATAGCTTAGAAAGCATGACTGTATAAGCACAGAGGTTCCTGTTTGGTTTGGTTTGTTTGTTTGTTTTGCCAGTCCTGGGGTTTGAACTCAGTGCCTGAGCATTGTTCCTGAGCCTCTTTCTGCTCAAGGCTAGCGATCTACCACTTGAGTCAGAGCACCACTTCCAGAGTTTTATGAGTTTATTGTTTATTGGAGATATGAGTTTTATAGAGATAAAAGTCTCACAGACTTTCCTGCTTGGGCTGGCTTTGAACTGCTATCCTTGGATCTCGGCCTCCTGAGTAGCTAGGATTATAGGGGTGAGCCACACCGGTGCCTGGCTTGGTTTATTTTTTGATTGAGTATATGTACAAATGAGTGACATGTTTATGTTTGTTAAAACTAAGCTTGTATTTCCCTTTTTACTCTTGTGTCTTCTCCTTTTTAAAATTTTAATTCCAGAATAGCAAGTCTAGCTGAATATCTTCTTTTAATTCTCACATCTAGGCAGGCACTGGTGTCTCACACCTGTAATCCCAGCTAATTGTTTGGCTGAGAATGGAATGAAGCTCCAGACATGCCTGGCTAAAAAAGGCTACCAGACTCAGTCTTCTCAGAAGGAAGCTGGAGGTGGTAGGTCATGCTTGTAGTCCCAGCAATGGTGGGAAGCCTAAAGTAGGCAGATCACAGTTCAGGCCTGTGCTTGTGTAGGAAGTGAGACTCTATCCCAAAAAGAGCCAGTGAAAACCAGGGATGGTGGCTCAGCAGTAAGAATCCTAGCCCAGCAAGTGTGAGGCACCGAAGACAAAGGCCAGTACCACCCAAAAACAAAAAGCAAAAAGAGAGAAGAGCTGGCATAAATAGACTAAAGCTTACGTGGTTTGCCACGTAAGTGCCGGGAGGTCTTCTCCACGTGAACTAAACTGAAGACTCAGGGTGAACAAGTTGACACACAAGCATGTAGACTCAGTGCCCTTGGTATATTTAAAATAGACACTGGAAGTGTCCCCACAGCTCATACATTTAGAAAAATAAAAATCTAGATCATGGTCACTGTAAGATGCCGCATTGCTGTCTTCACTCGGTGTCGCCGTTGTCATTCATGGTGTTGTGATTTGGCTTAGTTCAGCATAAATGTCAGGTAGGGTCAAGAGCCTGATTGATTTGCTACATTAAAATCAAAGATTGAAAGAAAATATCAACCTGGGAGTTGAGAAAAGTATATAAAACTCTATTTCTTTTCCCAAGGAGAAAAAGTGAAGGGAATTAGTTTTCTTAGGTTCCTAAGGCAAACTGTATCCCACGGAGACTCTGGGCAGGCGCTGTGCCAGGCTGAAGTTCCCATGGTGGGTTAGGAGGTTGAGATGGGAACACAGGTCTATGTCTCCTCTCCCCCGCCATGCTGCACACACCTTCCTCAAAGTACACACCATCATTCAATTCCTGACTAGAAGTGTGTTTGTTATCTACAAAGACACACCCAATTTCAGCTTTCTGGTTCAAAAAAATCCTCTTTGTAATGGAGCTCTTTCTTCAAGAAACAATGATGGCAGGCTGCAGAGAGAGGGAACGGGGGAGGGGAGCATGATTTCCTCTGAGTCTGGACATTTCAGCTCAACTCAGTGAGGCAGAGTTGTGTATGATTATCACATCCTCAGAGGCTACATGATGAGCCTGGTGGCTCACTCCTGTAAGCCTAGCTACTCAGGATGCTGAGATCTGAGGCGCTGAGCAAAGCCAGCCTAGGCAGACAAATTCAGAAGACTCTTACCTCTAATGAACCAGCAAAATGCTGGAAGTAGAGGTATAGTTCAGGTGGTAGAACACCGGCCTTGAATGAAAAATCTAAGCAACAGCACAAGACCCTGATTTCAAACCCCAGTACTGGAACACACATGTGCACATGCACACACACACACACATACAATGAAATAATAGTGTTGAAAGCAGTCGTTGCCTAAGGAAGCCTCAAGCTAGACTAGAGAAAGAATAGACAGTTGAAGATAAAGTAAATTTGGGGTTATAACAGAGGCATCTGTAGCAGGGAGTGAAGAAGGAAAGAGAATGTAGCTATCTAGCTGTTAGAAATGGAAGGCTATGGAAGGAATTGGAAAGCTCTTCTTGCAACAGGTGGCATTCTGAATGGACTCTAAAGAATGAGTTAGTTTTTAGAAGCAGAAAGGGGAAGAGGACTTTTTCAATAAATGGAGACAGGATGATTAAGGGCATAGAGACTGGACTAGGAAGAGCTTGTTTGAAGAGCAGCAGCAAGAAGTACAATTTTGACAGAGTACCAAATGTCTGGTGAGAAGAAATAGGGGCAGAGTGGAAGGCTGGCTTGGGTTAGACCATGGCCGGTTCTCCCTGGGTTGCTCAGGGCTAGAAGGAAGCCATTGTGATTGATTGCTAAATAGAAGAGCAAGAATCCCTGTGGGAAAGTGAGAGAGTAGACAGGATCATGAAGATGAGAATGAGTTATGTCTATGATTGCAAGGGCTTGGGGAAGCAGAAGATCTGGAGAGGAGGCTACATCGTGGAGATAAGAGGTCTACGCACTGAAGTTCCAGAAGGCTTGAACTCTCCTTGGTTTATGTGATCCAGTACTTTGCCCTACATTGAACAGCACCACACGAACCTCAGTAAGACATAGGTCATGTGGAAGAATAACAGAAGGGGTAACTAAACCCAGCAGTCCAAGAGCTCAGAAGGAGGCAGGACACATGGATTCAGACACCACAATGCCCTCAGAAAAGATCAAGCTTAAAAAGACGATGATCTTGCTGGATGCTGGTGGCTCACACCTACAATCCTAGGCAGTCAGGAGGATGAAACTTGAGGATCATGTTTTGAAGCCAACACAGGCAGACAAACGCAAGAAACTCTTATCTCCAATTAACTAGCATAAAGCAAAACACTAGAAGTGGAAATATAGCTCAAATGGTAGAACTCATTTTTGTTTGTTTGGGGTTTTTTTTGGTGGTCATGGGGCTTGAACGCTGGGCCTGGGCTCTGTCCCTCAGCTCTTCAGCTCGAGGCTAGTGCTCCACCACTTGAGCCACAGCACCACTTCTGGCTTTTTCTGTGTATGTGGTGCAGAGGAATCGAACCCAGGGCTTCATGTATGTGAGGCAAGCACTCTACCATTGAGCCACCTGCCTAGCAACTCAGGGTTGTTGTTTTTTAAATTGCTGTTTTTGTTTTTGGTCTGACACCAGGACTCAAACTCACTGTCTGATGCTTTCACTCTACCACCCAAGCCATACTTCCAACCCCTGAACCTAGTTTTGAGCACAAAAATTAAAAGAAGAAGCCAAACAAGAGCACAATGCCCTGAGTTTAATACCAATACCAAGAAAAGATGGGGTGGGGGTGATCAGTTGGACAGTGAGTGCCATTGGGAAAACTGGATTTGCACACGGAGGCTGGGTGGTAAAGAGTTAAGGCGTGTGGGGTCGAGGGAGGAAGGAAGCCTGGAAGCGTGTAGTAATAGCTTAAGTGAATTTGGCACCTCTGCTTTCAGTGTTGAATATTCTTTTTGAAGTCAGTGATGGGATATAATTGAACTAGGTCTAATAGATATAATTTAAGCTAGGTCAAAACACAACACAAAATTAGACACATCTGTCCTTAGGTTTTCTAGTTGCAATAATACCATTCAAATTCCTGTTGACCTTTGAAGTGAATTCTGTACGCTCTGCTCACACTTTTCCACAACCATTTTGCATCTTTTTTCATCCCCCTACTTTTTTTTCTTTTTCTTTCTTCGCTGCTTTCCCGTGTCTTCATTTCTCCTCTGAAGGCTTGGAGACAGGAGAGAAAAGAATACATTAATTCAACTCTCCCCATTCTTTCTTCTTTTTCTTTTCCTCTTTTTTCTCTTCCTCCCACTCCCTTAGAGGTACAGGGAATTGAAGTCAGAGCCTTGTTTGCTAGGCAAGTATTCTTCCACACAAATCACTAGTTTTCAGATAGGATCTGGAGCTTTTTATGTGACAAGATCACAGGAGTGCATAGCCATACCCTGCTTATTTTCTGATATGGGGTGTCTTAGGCCATGTTCTCTGGGCTGGCCTTCAACCCAATCCTCTCTATCTCTGCTTCCACAGTAGCAGGCGTTACAGGCATATGCTAGCATGCTCACAAACACTCCCCATTTTTCCATAAGTGTTGACTTGAAAGACAGTGTGTTACTGAAGCCATGCTAAGGGTTACTCACTCAGCCACACTCAGCGGTGTGGTGTGGTACACCATGTGGGC